GACTGGATCCTCGATTACTTGGTTTGGTGGGATCTGCTGGTTCAGACACAGCATATGTCTGAGAAGGCCCCACGTGGGATCATGGTGAGGAAGTGCAAGGAAAAAACTGTTGTGATATTGCTTTCTTTGGCAACTTGGAAGCTGTGGTGGGATCCAGAAACGGCAACCTGGAGCCCCACTGACCACTTAACTGCTCTCTTCTCCATCAGCTTGGGAGCTTTTTCTGAGACGCTTGCAGAGTATGATAGCATCCTTTGTCGTCTGAACATCTTTATCAAGATGCTAACAGATCTGCCTGCCTTTGATCAGTTGTGCTTCAAGGGAAGCTCACCAGTCCTCTGATTCTTTAATATTTTCCAGCCCAGATAGAGGTTAACCAAAGGATCTCACGATAGTCATCTCCATGCAGGAGCAAGGAAGCATAGGAGAAACCGATGCACCACAAGAGCATATTGGATGGGATGGCTTTAAAGAGGGCTAGACAATTGGATGGAGGAGAGGCCTATCAAAGGCAACTAGCCGTGATGACTATGCTCAGCCTCCCATGTTAGAGGGAGCAATGCTTCTGAAAAGCACTTGCTGGAAGCCACAGATCCCCCAAACGTGTTTCACAAGGACCCCTTCCTTCCCTCTGCCCCAGTACCTGAAGGTCGTCACGTCTCTCCATGGATTTGGCCAGAACAAAGTATATGTTGGGGGAAAGCTCCCTCCCTGCAAAGAAAATGGAGGAATCAGCAGGCGCCTGGCTTCCAGCCATGCTAGCACCAGTCTGGTGCATGAGGGTGGGGGACACGGGAAGGAAGCATTCATATGGTATAGGGCACTCAATTGGCATTTCCACCTACCTGAACTCTAAGCCTTCCCCCCTTTTGTTCTGGCCTGTCTCTCTCCCAAGGAAGATGCAAGCTCTTGCTGGAAGCGGCTGTGGGGAGAGTGTTTCTATGATTCCCAATGTTTCAGAAGCATCTTTTTATTCCTTTAGCTGCTTGATATAATCATAGCATGGCAGGGTTGGAAGGGATCCCAAGGGTCATCTAGTCTAACCCCTGGCAATGCAAGAATCCTGCCCACAGCCAGTCCTGGCTGGGCTCCAAACTCCAGCCTTCTGGTTACCATTGCAATTCTGCATGGGGTGGAGAAATGGAGAGATAAATGTGTTGCTTACATTCTCATAACACTGATATGAGATCCACACCATACAGCCCTTTCAATAACTAAAGTCTAAAGGGCTGTGACATGGAGGATGGAGCAAGCTTGTTTTCTCCTGCTCCAGAGGCCCTTAGGGCCTGAAGCAGTGACTTGCCGTCCTTGGAGGTTTTTAAGCAGCACTTGGATGGCCATCGGCCATGGATCATCTAGTTGAGATTCCTTCATTGCAGGGGGTTGGACTAGATGACCCTTGTGATCCCTTCCAATTCTACAATTCTATGATGCTATGTTTTAAAGAGCATCCAATGAGCCTTTAAAGCACATGGCTTCCCCTGAAATAATTTGTGCCATTGTGGCTTCCCTCTCACAGACCTACAATCCCCAGAACCCCTAACAAATTACAATTCCCAGGATCATTTGGGGGGAAGACATCTGCTTTTTAGAACAGGGATGGAGAACCTGCAGTTTGCTCACCCCCGTTCCCTAGAAAGCCAGGAAGGGGAGCTCAAGTGCTTCTAACAGTATGGTTATAGGGAGCAGCATGTATAAAATATTGAATGTAATAGAGTTATTAAGGTAATTGTATCAGAATTATTATGGGAATATTAAGGAGGGGGAAGAGAGATTTTGGAATTCTGGTGGTGAGTGATGATTGGATGATGGTTTGAAAGGGAGTTTGAATGTGAGGCAGTTGAGAGTCAGTTGAGAGCAGTGGGTTCTGGAGCGGGTGGTTGGGCAACTAACTATACAGTTTAGGATCAGTAGTCTAGTCGTCCTTGTTGTAATAAAGCAGCATATAAGATAAAGAGAATTTGAGGCCATAAGTCTCATTTAGTGAGGGTGCAATACCTAGGATCTGGACCAAACATTGATATTTTTTGCTCTTTTCTAGTTTCATAGGTTTATGTTCTGGTTCTAATGATGTAATAGGGGTGGGGGCTCTTTAAATATTGGGGGCTGCTACACACTCCTTTTCTTCTTTAAAAAAACAATAATTTCCCCTCACTTTCAAAAGCACATGCATTGTTTCTATTATGTTTAATGTATGTAGAGTTTGGTGTCAAACACCGCCACCCGACCCCACCCCCATCCATCTTCCCTCTCTCCACCCCCCTTTCTTTTTTCTTTCTTTTTCTTCTCCCCTAATGCCTCAACAAATGAAACGGATTTGTAAAAATGTTACATGGGGGGGGAAAATACAAGGCATTACATTTACTTCTGTAAAACAAGGAAATCCTTAAAAATATTTTTAAAATAAAATAAAAAGGGGGGGAAAGCACATGCATTGTCTCTTTCTTCAGTTACATTTGTTTTGAGACATTGGTGTTATATGCAGTGTAGGGTTGGGAAGAAAAGAGAGAGCAGCATACTGTCAGCAGAAGTCGCTGGAGAGCCTTGGCACATCCACATTTTAGCAGTGACAAAAATGAAAGGAAGAGGTGATCTGTGCAGAAGTGAGGCTCACAGGGAAGCAGCAATGGCTCTGTGTCAGGCAGCACAATGTCCTGTTAAGCATCCTCTCACACTGCAGAAAAAAAGTTGCACTTAACCCTCAGTTACAGCTGACTGGCAGCTTATTACATATGAAGTGAAGAACAGGAACAACTTGAGATATACATGACAATATACTCCTTGTTCTAAATTTGTGTCACAATAGTCAATTTGTGTCTAAATCTTCAACACTATTAATACCAGAGCCTATGGAGTATCCCTTGGAATATCCAAGTGGGCTAAGAAATCCCAATGAATTCACTTCAATTTATTCTAAAAGCAAAAAATAAAAACTTGAATAAACTGTTTGGCTTTAAGTAGAGACAAACAACAATAGCTAAAACCATCTACATTTTATGTGTAACTCCAGAGATTATAGCTTGTCTGCAGCAGCACTTAATGTGACTACAAGTACGGAACAAAGCTTTAAAATTCTGGTTACAGTGAAATGCTTCCAGTATCAATTGGAATGAAAGCAGAAACTGAAACCATCCCTACTGCTCATCAACTTTTCAGAAAGCCTCTACAAACAATAATGATCAGTCCTGTTATTAAAGCACTTGGGTCACAACCCAACATTCTAGAAAGCATATATGTACATCAAGTCTCTCTTTGCCTTTGGGGAATACGCACACTGCTCAAAATTTTGGGGGGAAGACATATAAATTTGGGTTGATTTGTATACTAATGACACCATCAGTCTCAACAACTGATTTGCAAAGATGGAACATTTTTGTAGTAATAAAAGGCATCACTATTTTCAATAATTCTGCTCAGCTTGATGAATCATAGAATCATAACTATAGAGTTGGAAGAATTGAAGCATCATCTAGCCCAACTCCCAGCTAATGACTATAGTACCTCCCTCTGAAGAGCACAGTCAGGTGCTAAACCTTCCAAATCTGAAGCTGCAGAGGTAGACAGAGATCCTCAACATCTCCTCAAATGCGAGGAAAGTTGGAAGATGTTTGGCAGTTGCACAGCCAAAAGGCACCTGGAGAGTCTTAACCTCATAGGACTCAACTGGCAATCCTTTCCTGCTGCTCCTCAGTACAGTAAAGGCGGGCAAGCAGAATGTGCCTGTTGGACTTCCCTACCTGAAGGCCCACTTCAAACAGGGACTCTCTACTCACTTGCACCCAAACTGCTATTTTCCTTCCCTCCAGCAAGGGAGGATGTTGGATGTTCCTGCATAAAGGTGCTTTGGGCACTTTCAAGCAGGGATGCCCAACTAGCAACTCTCTCCTTCAAGCAGTGATGCCCATTCTGGAATGCCCTTGCTGAGGGCTGGGGCAGCAGGTTTGGTGCAAGTTGCGACTAGCAAAAAAAATGTAATTATTGATTACTGCACCCCATATATGGAATATATACATAATTACAGGCAGTTAATACATAAAAGTAACTGCATTATTTAAATATGTAAAACTTTCCCCTCAAAATTTGGTCAAGGCTATGAAGCAAAAGCACCATCCAGTGGCCAAATTTATTTCCTACTACGTATGGTTTTCCGAGTACGGCAGATTGAATGAAGAGCACAGGAGGATCCACCAATCATTGTTTATTTGTTTAAATGTATACAGTAGACCGAAAGGATCGCTGCCGTTTTTTAATGTTCCTCTTGACTACGATGCGTTTGATGGCACGAATTTCTCCTAGTACGAGACTATTTCACATATTACATCACACAAAGAGATCATGGTTTTCCTGCCCCACCCCAGAAACGGGTTCACGGGGCTCGATGTGTTTTGCTTAATTCGCTGCACAGTAAAACGAATACTGTACGTTCTCTGTCTCCGATTCCTTACTAGGAACTACTTTGGAAACCAGTAAGAACTCTACTGTAAAGGCATCAATTCACAGGTAGCTTCGCGATTTGTTCCACATCAATTCAGAACTACTAGCAGGCGGCTGCCCACCAGCTGCGTCACACGTACAACCCATTTACATGTTGCTTTCGCGATAACGACTGCTGTGTAGGTTAACAGCAGCTCCCCCATAAACTAGCCTACCTTCTGTGGAAGTGGAGGCGCCTGGCCTCAGCCCCACTAAGTTTATTCATGTGGTTTCAGAGAGCTCAGTGCAAGTACGACTAGTCTGCCAATTTACACTGTGTCGCAGGCGGAGGCCCCGCTTGCTTGCAAGGTACAGACTTCCGCGAAGCGCACTTGAGAGACTGAAACCTCGCCCAACCGAAAGCGGGAGACGGTGCGCACGCGCGCCTCGCACCAACGGCTCAACAGGCCCGGCCCTCCAGCCCGCGAAGTGGGCGTGGCCTCCTCCCCATTATAAAAGCGCTCGCGAGGCGCGCGCCTCTTCCTTTTCGAAGGCGTTCTGGAGGCGACGGTTGGGCTTTAGTTGGAAGAAGAGGAAGGGTGGGCCTGGGCCTGGGCCTAGGCCTAGGCGAGGGTGGGGAAAGGGAAGAGAAATACAGGGGATGATTCTTTTCCCGTGCAAGGCTAGTAGTTGTTTCTCCTGAGTACGCGCCTGTAACCAGCGAGCGTGCTTTTCGCAGGAGAAGCGTCCCTTCGTCTCGGAGCGTAAGATGCTTCAGGAGAGCGAAGGGCATCTAGCGCGCATGCGCCGTAACTGTCGGGATGCTTAAAGGAGGCTGTTGTTTCGGGGCGGGCGGGGGGAGTCCTAGCGACGCCGAACAGGAAGAGCCAAGCGCGCCTACAGGTAGGACAACTTACCTTACTTCGGAAGGGAATCCTGAGGCGCTGAGGGCCGCCTTCTTGCGCTCCGGCGTCATTTTCAAATGCCAAGTAACGCGCGCCTCGTGCGCTCGCTGGGGCTGCCGGGTAAAGAGTGGGGGGCGGGGACCAACTCCATGCTTCCATGGGACCTGCCAGCGTGGCAGCCTCCCTTCCTATCCATGGTAGAGCAAACGGTCACCTTGCCCCTTGGCATAGCTCGCACCATTTAATTGGGGCGAGACTCTGACTAGGGCAAGTAACAGCGTTCCTTCGGTAGAGGCGCCGCGCTGAGGGATCGTCGCCTGGAATGGGGAGGGAGGGGAGGTCGCCTTCATAAAACGAGTTGCCCCACCAGCCCCTTGTCAATGTACAAATGTGGCTTGCTTTGAAGCTACCCACAGTTGTGAGACTAAGTTTTTTTTGGTAATTATTGCAAAGTGCTGAAAGTTTCAATGATAATATTGGGTAAGAGTCAGCTGCGCACTCCTTGCTAAAGGGCCTTGCTTGGGGGTGACCTTGTGGCCTAAAAAGCGGTCGTATTGAGCCTCCTTGAACTTGCCGTTTTCGGCAGTTAAGCTTCTGTTGGGGAGCCTCCTTCCTCTTCTAACTGCACTGGCTTTGGGTTGTAAAATTGGAATTCTCTTACAAGCGAGTCTCAAGGTCATCTTCCAATGTTACTCCAAAAGCCCTCTTCAAAACTAGCACATTCTGTGAAAGTGCTTTTGAAATTAGAGCTGATAACTAAGAAGGCATGCATGACATCTTTAATTAGTCTCCTTGGGAGTGTGGCATTTGACCAGCTGCTTAGTCTTTCGCAGTGCTATTTGCGGAAAAATATTTAAATACAACTTGATTGCACTAAATTACTTCTATACATAAACAATCTAACTTAATAATTTCCTTCATCTTTAAAAATGAGTTGCGATAACAAAATCTTGATGGGCTGTAAAACTTAGCATCCTTTTTTTCTTTTTGCAGGATATATGTGCTTGCTACTCTTGAGTTTGAAGATGGGCAGTGGAAGTGGCACATGCTTCTGCTAAAAGTGTGTGTTAACAGGGTAGTCATGAAATTTTTGTTCTCAACAGTGTTAACAGCAATGAAAACATAAATAACTTTAGTGCCTGGAACAAAGCTATTATAAGCTGTAAATATTACAAGTGAATACAGTTTAAATAATTGAAATTAATGTATAAGATTTGTTTGCTTTGTAAAGGCACTTTAACTGCTGTGGAGTAAATTGAGGAAAGTGCCTCCTCAGTTTGTATTTTTATGTGTATATGCCTTATGTTGTGGTTTTGATACAATAAAATTAAAGTGGTTTGCAATTATTTACTGTTTTCCCAATTTAGTTGCTTGGTTTTAACCTGGCTGATCACAGTAGTAGATGTTGCAAATGCATCAGTGTGTGTGGTGCTTTACAAAATAGGAATCTCAAAGGCACTTTTCATTGAAGTCATTTGAAAAAAACCATTCCTGTGCAATAGTGTAACAGAGCCTACAAACAGTTGAATGTTTTCTCCTTTTATCTATCTCCTTCCTTGGGACAGGGGCCTCACCTCATGTACTCTGTAATCTGCCATGCACAATTTGTCATTTGACCTTTTCCCCCAAATAATTTTACCATTTAAAATTTAACAGATGAGAAAAGAAGGGGGAGTGGATCTTCCCTCTGCCTTAGCCAGCATGGACAGGGGTGAATGTTGGAAGTAATATTTGGAGGGCACCATGTTGGCTGCCCTGTAGAAACAGAGTTTGGAGTGTTAATTTGAATGAAAGGAGAGATAACATCACACTAGTGTTTTGAAAGAGTTCTAGGCATAACATCAAGTAAGGATGGAGTATTTTTGATGGAGCAGGTGACCTCCAGGCAGCTAAAAGTGAAAGACAAATCTGGCTTGTGAGCTGAAATGGATTGCCTGTAATTTACATACAGGTTAGATACATTTCTGTTTGTCCACAAGGGGGTGGTGGTGGTGTCAAAATGGGGAAATGTTAGCACAAGATACAGTGGTACCTCGGGTTACATACGCTTCCGGTTACAGACTCCACTAACCCAGGAATATTACCTTGGGTTAAGAACTTTGCTTACAGAAATCGTGCGGCAGTGGCAGCAGGAGTTCCCATTAGCTAAAGTGGTGCTTCAGGTTAAGAACAGAACTCCAGAACGAATTAAGTTCTTAACCCGAGGTACCACTGTACTATGGGCTACATAAATTAAAAGTGGGCTTTGATATCTGTGATTTGCCCTGATAGCAGTGGATCAGGGCATTTCCTTAAGTAAATTGCAACCTTGTACATACTTGGGTCCCTTTAAAGGGATAGAATCACAGTACACATACCTTGTGTTTTAATTAAAATTACTTTGAAAGCTTCAGTCTTCTACAAATACTGTTGTGACTTGGAAAAGCACTAAAAGATGAAGCAAGCACGTGCATCTTTGCATGTGTCCAAGTGAAAACCTTACAAATTACAGAATAGCCTATGAAAGGTTTAGTTTTTTGTTTGATAGGTGACTTCCCTTATTTGGGTGGGGAAGATTAGAAGGGCTGTATCAAAAGCATTAAACGAAAGGACAAAAGGTTAATGAGATTTCAAATGGACATACAGAAAAATGATGGCCACAGTTAGCTACTTGTTCCTAGGACAAACAACAGGCATGTTTGAGATTTTTGCCTACTTGACACTTAAATGTAGGTGCACGTTGAGATATATATCTTAAAAGTGAAATCTTCACTTTAAGCTTATAACAAAGACTTCAATAAATGGCAGGTTTTATTGTGCAAGTTACGTTTTATGGCTTTGATCAAAATATAAAATTGTGACAAAGACTTCAATAAGATTGAAAACCATACTTTCTAGATAAGTTTTTGAGTGTACTGTACTGCTAAATGCTTAGACATACTGAAATTGCTTGATAAGTAAGGTCAGCCGAGTTTAAAACAAAATGTTGAACTCAGGAAGTTTTCAAATCACATTTCTAGTAAAAATGATTTAACTAATACAACATAGTTTTGAAAAGGGAAAAATAGCCTAGCACCTTGAATGTTCAACATACTTTTAGAAGACCTATCCCAGCCCCTGTACTTGGGTGGCTATTGTTTATTAAAAACAATCAATTTAGCAGTTTACATTTCATTAAAGAACTGCTTTGTTTCATAAGGGTGAAGGCTGCCTAACATAAAATCAAGTACCAAGTGGAAAGTTACAGAAAGCTATATAAATGGAGAAGTATCCATATAGAGCACAAAATTTATGTTTAAGTTAGGCATAGCTCTTTGCCACATTTGTATACTTTGCCATATGGGGCCAAATGTTTTTCTTGGGGATTTTTATATTTATTGCATTGACATTCTTCCCATATAAACCAGTCATCTGGGTTCTTTTCAAACCCATGTGCTTTTCAAATGATGCTGAGGTATTAGGTAAAAAATGCAACAAAACATACCCATACATGTAGAAACATCACTGAGTACATAAATGCACACCTATCATAACTAGGAAGCACCCAAAGGCCGACACATTGCAATTAGGAATTTTGTGAAGGAAAGAGACCAATCTCACAGGTACGGTATATAACCAGTTGATTGGGAACTACCAATCACCCTCTTGACGCAGTTATTGCTATATCTTTAAATAAAAATTCAATTGGAACAAACATGGTTATAGAGTCTTACAGTTCATAAATAATGCAGTTTCCTATTTTATAATTAAACTTGAAACTGGTTGAAGTAAAATTGATTCTTTGTATTTTTAAAGTCCATTCTGGGTGCTACATAATGGTTTGAGTCATGAAATCTTTTCTATAGCCTCATGCAAAGGGATCATGGAAGGATTTGTTGTCTGAAAAGAAAGCCTAGGTCATGTAAATCTAATGGAAAGCTAGTAGTAAGCACAATCTACCGTATTTTTCGCACCATAGGACGCACCTTTTCCCTCCTAAAAAGCAAGGGGAAATGTGTGTGCATCCTATGGAGCGAATGCAGGCTTTCGCTGAAGCCTGGAGAGTGAGAGGGGTCGGTGCGCACCGACCCCTCTCGCTCTCCAGGCTTCAGGAAGCTATCCGCTAGCCGCGGCTAGCGGAGCGCTGCATTAATCCCGAAGCTTGGGGCGCGCGGAGCTCAGCGCGCCCCAAGCTTCTGGGTGCCGGCAAAGTCTCGCTAGCCCTGGGAGAGCCCCGCGACGTTGCGTGGCTCTCCCAGGGCTAGCGAAGCGCCGCGCTAATCCCGAAGCTTGGGGCGCGCGGAGCTCAGCGCGCCCCAAGCTTCTGGGTGCCGGCAAGGTCTCGCTAGCCCTGGGAGAGCCCCGCGACGTTGCGTGGCTCTCCCAGGGCTAGCGAAGCGCCGCGCTAATCCCGAAGCTTGGGGCTTCGGGATTAGCGCTCCGCTCAGCCTGCTTCCCGGAGCGCCGGGCGCCCTGAAAGCAGAGCTCCAGGCGCTTCGGGAACACATCCGCAGCATGGGGAGCCTTGCAGGAATTCCCCACAGGGCTCCCCACGCTGCGGATAGCAGCCTGCTGCCTGGCGGGTGGGGCGCCCTGAAGCAGAGCGCCCCTCGCGCCAGGCAGACATCCGCAGAGTGGGGAGGCTTGCAGGAGTTCCCCACAGGGCTCCCCACGCTGCGGATAGCAGCCTGGTGGGTGGGGCGCCCTGAAGCAGAGCGCCTCTCGCGCCAGGCATACATCCGCAGAGTGGGGAGCCTTGCAGGAGTTCCCCACAAGGCTCCCCACGCTGCGGATAGCAGCCTGCTGCCTGGCGGGTGGGGCACCTTGTAGCAGAGCGCCCCTCGCGCCAGGCATACATCCGCAGAGTGGGGAGCCTTGCAGGAGTTCCCCACAAGGCTCCCCACGCTGCGGATAGCAGCCTGCTGCCTGGCGGGTGGGGCGCCCTGAAGCAGAGCGCCCCTCGCGCCAGGCATACATCCGCAGAGTGGGGAGCCTTGCAGGAGTTCCCCACAGGGCTCCCCACGCTGCGGATAGCAGCCTGCTGCCTGGCGGGTGGGGCGCCCTGAAGCAGAGCTCCCCGCCCGCCGGACAGACATCGACCAGCCCCACAAGCTTGGGGGACAGCAGGGAGGCGCAGTGCCACTATCCCACTGTTCCTCGACCTGTTTCGGTTTCCCTGACCTGCTTTTGGGGGGGAAATAAAGGGGAAAATTTTTTCCTTTATTTCCCCCCAAAAAAACTAGGTGCGTCCTATGGTCCGGTGCGTCCAATCGTGCGAAAAATACGGTAGTGTGTCTGAAGCCTTGCAGAAAGGCAAAAAGAAAAGCTCTTACAAATGAGTACAAAAAGTTGGGCCTGTCTGCTATATATATTACAAGCCAGTGTGATGAGTGTAAATTAATGAAGCTTCATTTTACTCTGTCTAAAAAGTGTATTCTCATAAAATCTTGTATATGGATATTGTGCATTGATCTTTTACCACTTTACACATTTAAATAGGACAGGTCATGTTCATATGTATATCGAGAACTATTTGTGCAATTATTTAAATGTGCTATTTGTTGGGGATTTCATGGATGAGGGGGACACAATAAGTATTACTTCCCCCCATGTTTCAATGTAAGTCAACATTACTTTAAGATGAACTACCATATTATCCAACAAAATAAGCATACACAGAAAAATGTGTACAGCTTTGTACTGACTGTGCTGTTAGTGGTCAGTGACGCGAGCATGGTCATAGTTTGGTCACACTTCTTATCCAAGGTACAAAGGAGGAAACTTTAGTATAGACACCTGGAGAGTCTTTGACTCCACAGCCATAACCCCAGGAGGTCACCCCATATACAACCCAACTTTCTCCAGGGCGTTCACACATGAGCGGCCCACCACTGTCTCCCTGGCAGCTGTCCACACGCTTCTGCTCTTGGAGGCTACCAGCACAGAGCATCCTTCCTGTGAACCTTGTCCGATAGCGTTCTTCACAGATTCTTTTAGGAAGCAGAGGGATGGCAGCTTGTTGCAATGTTCTTGAGTAAGCTCTTCCTGTGGTAGAAAAATACAGGCTTTGACATATTGAATGTGAAATGGGTGTTAGAATTATTGCAGTCTTCTGCATTCCCTCCAGACATGTTATTTCTACGCCAGTCAATTGCCATGTAGCATTGTTTTCACACTTAGTAGGGTCTTTGTAATTGACGTTGGGTTTTTTGGAGGGAGATACCACAAAACTACGGTATATATTAGGTTATTTCCGGCCATCTTTCTATAGGAAAAAATGGACAAAAACTATAATAAAAAAGTATGTGGATGCAATGGAACCCATACCTTTCATTTATCTCTCCCAAGCCACCTCACTAGCAATAGAAGGCAACTTTTTGCAGTATTT